TTTCCCCTGAGGGCTCCCATGATGAGCTTAGTCTTGTGAAAAGTCCTTTAAATAACCAATGGTTCCTTAAGCCATGAGCACTTCACCTGGAAATTGCTGACCTGCTAATCATGCACTTGGGAGCAAGGTTGTTTTTATTCAAATTGGTTATTTTACACTCTCTTCATTCCCCTGCCCATCAAGCATGCAAACACGGTCATGACCATCTTGGGCTTTACTTCCACAAGGTCTTCCGGGAGAGCGTACACCCTGGCTCCAATTCTTCTAGCCATTGACACTGCGTACCTATTTTTGGAGGAAACAAAAATTAAGGTGAAATTCTGGTCAGTCAAGGGCACAACATGAGACATCTATTTCCTCTTATATAGTCATTTGTCTGGGACGCAAAACTTCTATAGCGAAAGTTCAAATCGGAATGATTTCATTTTTCGTTATTTTGTTTTCTGTTTTATTTTGTTTGCGAGGTCACTTATAAGTGACACCAGATTTTTAAGCTCTACTATTTGGGGCTGATAATTTTTATTCACTCTTTTTCTACAATATAAAATGAGAAATAATTTTGGAGCACTGATTTGATATGAAAAAAATATTTTTCTAGAATATATAATTACCCAGATTGATATTCTCGTTGAGCATGTAATAAGATAATAGTAACTCTCATGAGATCTTAGAGATTTGAGGTGGAAAAAATTATGCCAGATGCAAAATACAAGTTGGTAGATGCAGTGAATACTTCCAAATATTCAAGGGAGGGGAGAGAGTCTACATGGTACGTGGCCAGAGTGGCCGAAGCAAGGAATGCAAAGTGTAGAGAAAGGAAGGGAGAAAAGAACTGACGTGTCCAGCTGGGGAAATTTATTTGCAGGAGCTCCCCTCAATTAATTACACAAGGCATTTCTAGGTGTTCTGTAACAGGAATCTTTAAAGATGATCAAGCATCTGGAAAAAGAAGCCTCAGGAGTTCTCTATAAATTATGGATATTAAATCTTTATCATATTACGCTACAAATATTTTTTTTAAGGAGGGCAGAAATGACGTGCTTAACCACAAAGTTTTGCAGTAATGTTTCTTAGCTATCCTGTGAAGCCCAGCTGATTTTCAGTGTGTACTGGGAAAGTTTTCATGGGTTACCCGTGAAACCAGATGACAGTCTAGGTCTTTGGAGAAGGGAAGAGACAGGTGGAAAAGACCTTCTCAGTACTGTTGAAATGCAGGAAACTTTCAAGGCACAGTTCCACCTGAGGGTTTAGTAGCCTACCCACTTAAGGGACCAAGATAATAAACTCAACATACATAGTAAAGTGGTCTATGCACAGTAAGAGAGACATCACTAGATAATGTGTGTTAAAAGAGTGAAACAGAAGAATACTCTTATCAAAGGCATGGTTATTCTTAGCTCATCTTTCCCTTGTGAGTTTGCAGCTAAGTTGCATTAAAACATACATCATTTCTGTAATCTACTAAAGCAATGACTGACTGAGCACCTACCTACTAGGTCAGGTGCAACACTAGGCTCTTACAGATTTTATACATTTCAAAATCTCCAAGGTAAGTATTATTGATCCCATTTTACTGATGAGGAATCTGAGGCTAGAAGAGGTTTCCCCCAGGTGACATCATTCTCAAGTGGCAGAACCTGAATGAGAATGCAGATCTGCCTGACTATAACGCCTGTGCTCTTGCCAGGATATTATGCAGCATCCCTTACTTGGCATTATTGTGCTTGTCATCTTCTGTTAGATTGCCGCTCTTAACAAGGTCATAGTTTATGCAGCCTGGCTGGATGGCATCAATTAAGTCCACAACTGCCAAACTGGAGCTGATCGTCTTGTCCTAGTGTAAAAGGACAATACATCTGAGAATTTCAGTGTGTACAAATTAACGTGGATTACCTATATAAAGCTGCCAGAAACAAAGTCCAGTGAATTAAAAAAGAATCACGCCATTGGCCCAACAATGATTCTCACTTACAAAGAAACCAAAAGCTAGCCTTCCAAATTATAGACACTTTCTAGAGCAAACAATGTTTAATAGTCAAACATGGAATTCTTACCTTAAAACTCTGAATGGAAGTTGATTTTCCAGCTTCACTCAATGTTCTGTTCACCCAGCTTACAATGATGTCATCATTAGCTTTCTGACCATCTCCAAGATCTTCCAGGACATTGAGGGTGTATCTAAAAGAAGCAGAAGAAAAGGTCCTGATCTACTTCATGAGAAAAAATTCAGTTAGAAAGATGCTTTATCTTTAATTTCTTCTCTTTAGGTTAAGATTTCATGGAATGAGAGTTGCACTGTATGAAAAAAAAAAAAAAACCCAACATTTCAAGTAGTAGTGGCTTGCCATTGAGCTGCCTTTTGCACTGGTGGGGGGAAGATTCTCAGTGCTTTAATGAGTAAGCCCAACAGTCTACTGCAGTCTCATTTTGTACTAGTCCAACCACGGTAAGGACTTAAAATAAGCTGTGCTTTGGCTCGTACCCAGTTATAATGAATGCTTTTCAGCATTACAGTTAAGAGATCTTTCTCAAATGTATACATGGGGTATTCACAATTTTTGCTATTTTTATTCACCGACACTAAATGAGGCTCAAGTCTGTCTGTCAGGCTTCCTATGAAAAAAGGGAAATAGTCACAGTTCTGCTGCCTCACTTTCAAGAAGCCATCTCTCATTGGCCATCCAACATATATTCATTACTTAAGCTCACTTCAGAGTCTAAACACAGAAATTTCAAAGATGTAGTCATTGATACATTTGCTTAAAAATAATAAGGATCACAGACCTGTATTATAGTGAAGCTTAAACAGCTAAAACTGTGTACCATACCTTCTCATCAGCTGCCAGACTAGAGCTAAAGTCAGGGTTTGGTTCCCATCATTCAGGTCTTGCCCTCCAATGCCAACCAGGGAGAATTTGGCAGGATGCTTCCCTAATTCAACAGCATAGTTGCAGTTTTCTAGCTGCAAACACACAAAAGCAAATGCTTAAAAGATTTTTCACTTGTTTAATCTGTATATGCACGTGTGCACAAAACTAAGACACAGTTCTTTTCCTTAAGAAGCTCAGAGCCAATGAGTTTCCCAAACAAAAGAAACAAATTGTGAATTAAAAGTCTGTAAGAAATACGTGCAGCAATCTAATTATCTACCTTTTTCATGTTGGCTCCAAGTTTCGGGTATGGAGGTTTATTCACCTTACTCCAGTCAACAGGAACTTTAATTCGTTCGTATAACTGTAAGATTACCAGGGCATCTTGCAGGTCACTAATGATTTAAAAAGAATTTGATCAATGCTTTCAGACAGCTGGGCCTATGTTTCCTTAAAAACAATAACACTACACTGTCAAACAAGATATATAAAACCATAGATAATACCCAAGACTCCTATTTTTTTAATCAATCTGTGCTGAAAATAGAGCTAACACCATCCAATTCTCTTAAAAATATTTATTGAGAGCTTATCGTTTGAAAAGTACTGTTCCAGAAGCTGGGCACATAGGACAAAAATCCCTGGCCTATAAAGTCAGAGAGAGAGAGAGAGAGAGAGAGAGAGACAGAGACAGAGACAGAGACAGAGAGACAGAGAGACAGAGGGAGACAGAGAGAGGGAAGAAACAAGTATATGGATAACATGATTTGGGGTGTATTTAATTGCTATAAAAAAAAAAAGAACGAGGTTAGGGGTTAGGTAGTGGTAGGTGGTGGTTAAGATCTGAATCAGTGGCTTGAATATAGCAAGGGAATAACGCATTAGATGTGGAAAAGAACATTCTGGGCTGAGAGAACAGTGAGTACAAAGGCTTCAAGGCATCATGGATGGTCTGCTTAAGGCACTCTCTGGTCTCTGTTTCAAAATATAAATATCTGTTCCCTACGGTGTTAGAAAGACATTTATACATTCTTTCACTTAATGATCATGTAAAGAAATAATCTGGGCTTTTGTGTATTTGGAAATGAAAATGGGAGTCACCACTCAACATTTTCCAATATAAGTAATATGCTACAAACTAACATTTAGGAAAGGTTTAGAGCTGTGTTATTTGTGTAGCGTCCATTCATGATGTTCATAACTGTTTACAATAGCAGTAGGAAGGCTTACGCATAGAGATGGTTTACATGGGGATTAACACCAAGAGAGTTCATCCAGTTACGGAAGGTTCTTTCTTCACGAGTTTCTCCTATTAAAAATATTCACAATGTTTATATATTCATTAAATACCTTGTATATGTGCATATAACATCAACCCACATATAAGATTATTTTATTTCTTCTTTACAGATCTAGAGCTTTTTCTCCATTGTGAGTCTCTAAGCAGCCTCTCTAAATACATTCTCTCTAGACATGCTTCTTTTTTAAACTGGATGAATTTATTTTAAAAGTAAAGAATACAACCTTATTAATAACCAGTTAAGCAATTTAGAGGCGTATGAAGTTTTAAAAATCTCCTCCTCTGTCTAATCCTTCTCCAGTATCTCCCCAAATCCCCATACCTCTAAAGTAACTGATGTTATCAGTTTAGGTTTTATTTTAAAAACTTGCTAGGGTCATATCATATAAACCTCTATACTCATATTAATCTACACCTTCCCTCTACCCAGTTAACAAATACTAAGCTACATATATGTACTCCTTTTACATGCCTATATTAGAGCAACAAATTATTTGCAACTTCAAAAGCATAAAATTTAAAGATTTTATAGTAATGATAGTAGACATGCAATGAACTACTATTTACATTTGTTAATTTTTTTTTTTTTTTTTTTTTTTTTGCGGTACGCGAGCTTCTCACTGTTGTGGCCTCTCCTGTTGCGGAGCACAGGCTCCGGACGTGCAGGCTCAGCGGCCATGGCTCACGGGCCCAGCCGCTCTGCAGCATGCGGGATCCCCCCAGACCGGGGCACGAACCCGTGTTCCCTGCATCGGCAGGCGACTCTCAACAACTGCGCCACCAGGGAGGCCCTACATTTGTTAATTTTTAAGTACTATACTTCATGCACATATAATCTGGCAAAGGTAAACTCTGCCCTTCCTGAACTTAAACGAATAATTACCATGCATTATTATTATTTTTTGAGTAGGTTAAGTGTGAAAGGAACTGGGGCCAGTTTCAGTTAGTCTGACTGGAAGAATGAAACATAAATATTGTAAATTTATAAACTTTGTGCAAATGTGTGTAAATTTTATGCATATAGGCATTTTTCTGGTGAGAGGTTTAAAAAGTGACCTAATTCTAAAATATTAAAATAAAACATTGGTTTACTAAGTGGCCTTAAACTAAGTGACCTTAGGCTAGCTTACTTTAAAAGTTCCCTTGTATCATTCCTTTCTATCAGCTGCCACTTTTTACTCAGCCCTTGGGACTACTTCTAGCAGACGGTTGCTAAAGGGGATAAGGAAACTTATTAAAGTCAAAATTATGAAATCACTGTGGCCTATGTATTTCTACTCTGTAGTCCCAAACATAATTTAAGAAACCTTTAGTTACCTTCTAATAGAGTCCAGTCAATATCCTGGTTCTCTGGCTTAGTTAGTGCTGGGTATTTATTAAACAGGTTAGCCACAAAGGCTAAGTTCAGTTTGGGGTTTCCACTGACGACATCAGCAGGAGTAACAAACTGTCTGCAACCTAATTTGTCTGCTTGTTGAAGCATGCTCTCAGCTCTCTTCAAATCATCTGTTTCCTGTTGAAGTAAAATAAGAAGACATTGTTTTAAAAGACCATACTAAAAACATAGAAATGTTTTCCTACAATGGTAGGCTGGGTATACAATTCTGTTTTCTCTTAGTCAATATATGGTACTTATGTTATTGTTTTGAATGCAAAAAAAAAAAAAAAGTTGGCTGTGCTGGATATGCAGTACCTTGAAAATACCCTAGATGGCACCAGATCGTATATCTAAGGACAGAATACATTTAACTCAATTGAGATTACATCTCTCATGGCAAAATTCATCAAGAAAAAAGCAAAACCTGTTCAGATTTTAAAATTAAGCCCTAAAGAAGATGTAAGGCTGAAAAAGATGATGGAATTATGAGAAAATATTTTAAAAATAATAATCAGGGATACCAGGTTCCCATAATTTTATTTCAGGTTTAAATTGCATATTTTAAATTGTAGTTTTTCTCTTCAATATTTTTTGTTTGTTTTATTTTACTTTTCCACCCGGGAAGCAAAGTTGTCCATTTCTGTAAAAAAAAATACTTACTTTCAACTAATTCCTGGGACTCCTCACTTTTCTTCTTCTTCATTCTGCCTTTTTTTTTCTTCTGGAAAGATGCATGCTGATCTCTTGACTAACGTATGGTTTGGTGAAGATTTTTAAGTTATAGATCTGATGATTTCAGACCAATGTAAAAATAGTTTCCCAGGTGCTCACCATTCCCACCTCCCACCAATGAAAGTTCCTTCCTCCTGGAGCTGCAGGAGAAACAGTTGCTTTTGGATTATTCCGTTTCTAGTGACCTGCCCTCCAGACTGCTCTTGGCAGCTACAACAGACATCTCCACCCCAGGGCAAAAGTAGCTCTTCTGGAAAACAGTGTCATGTGAAAAGAAAAGGGATTTTATAACTGGGAGGAAAAAAGAGAGAAAGGGAACTTGAGGAATGTTACTTCTAAACCAACACATGCAGATTGTATACTTTGAGAGTCTTAACTCTGTCTTTAATGGGTGGTGGTATCTTTAGTTTTTTAATCTCCAGTGAGGTGCCTTGACTGTCTGGGACTCCAGAACAATGTGTATTTATTGTGTTACCCTTCTCTGTTACCATCTGCAGAGCAATCAGTAACCACGAGCAGATGGGCAATTGAGTGGGATTCAGCCTATCTTCAGGACTCTCTGTGAGCCTAGTGACTTCCTCTCACAGAGCTTATTTTATTTCTTGTAATCTATCAGTTGTTACTTTAATGCCCCTGGTTTATGCTATTTACCATCTTTATTTTAAAATCCCTTATTTATTGATCATCTTGGCATTCCTAAACAAAAAGCATTGATAATATTGGAATAGAAGGAAGCTTTAAAATAGCCCAAAATTTTAAAAATTCAAATAGTTAAATATATTGTAGAATAGTAAAACAAAAAATAATCAAATAAAAAATATACATATGCAAAAAAGAACTTCAGCCCATACCTCACATCATATTCAAAATTAACCCCAAACACACACACACACACAAATGTATAAACCCAACACTATAAATGTAAAACCCAAATGTAAAACTAAATGTAAAACCCCAAACTATAAAACCTCTAGGAGAAAACATAAGGAGAAATGCTTGTGACCTTGTGTTAGACTAAAAGTTCTTAGATACAACACCAAAAGCATGATTCGTAAGAGAAAAAAATAACTAAATCTGACTTTGTCAAAATTAACAACGTCTGTTCTTTGAAACACACTGGGACTAAATATTTGCAAATCACATATCCAATAAAGGACATGTATTCAAAATATATAAAACACTCAAAACTTGACAAGAAGAAAACAAACAATGCAATTAAAATGGGTAAAGTGTTTAAACAAAGATATATGGATGGCAAATAACTACGTGAAAAGACGTTCAACATCACTTGTCATTAGGGAAATGCAAATTAAAATCACAATGAGACACCTCTACACCTGTTAAAATGATTCATGTTTAACCACACTAAGGTGTCAGTGAACATGTGGACGTACTGGTACTTTCACGCACTGCTGGCCGCAATGTGCAAAGGTACAACTACTTTGGAAAACAACTTGGCAGCTGCTTAAAAAAGTTAAACACACACACATACCATACTACCCAGCCATTCCACTCCTAGGTATTTACCCAAGATAAATGAATGCGTATATGCATACAAAGACTTGTATATGAATGTTCAGAGCAGCTGTATTTGTAATAGCCCCAAGCTGGAAACAATCCAAACGTTCATCAACAGGTGAATGGATAACAAATTATAGTATATCCATTCACTGGACTATTATTCAGCAATAAAACAGGAATGAATTTATGATACATGCAACAACATGGATGAATCTCAAAATAATTATGCTGAAAGAAGCTAGATAAAATAAGAATACATACTGTATGATTCCATAAAATTCTCAAGAATTCAAACTAAACTGAAAGAAAGCAAATCAGTGGTTGCCTGGGATGGAGGAGTATGGGGGCAGGGAGGAATTACAAAGGATCATGAGAAACTTGATGGATCATGAGGAAACTTGATTTGGTGATAGATATATATATATATATATATATATATATATATATATCCCTAAAGAAGACGTAAGACTGAAAAAAGATGAAGGACACTGAAAAACAAGGGGAAAAGCAAGAGGAAAGGCTCAGAGGTAAAATGAGTGTGTGTGTGGTGGGTACAGAGTAGTGGGAAATTGCACTGGCCAGAAGAGTTGGAGCAAGATGGTTATAGCAGGGCCTTACATGATGAGCAGAACATTTCGGATTGAACTCTAGAGTCAATGGGGAAACCTTGAAGGATTCTGAGGAGGTAAGAGACAATGAAGGGAGTGCTTTAAGATCAACTAGGGAGGAGTGATAGAGACAGCTCCCTTAGTGCAGAAGAGGGCCCCTTGTTCGTGCCAAGAGTGACCTGAACTGAAGAATTTCACAGTTAAAAACAGACAGAAATATAAGCACTACAAGTCAGTTACAAATTCAGTTCTGATAAGGGCAGCATAAATGGTTTAGCCAGTGTAATCCACTCAGTCCTACTGTGAAATATGCTAGAAATGTGGATTTTTAAAAACCAGTAGAATACATTCCATATCTAATGAGTACTAACAACAGGATCCTAGAAAGTTGGGACTAAAGAGTCTAGGCCAACTCTTTACTTCATGTATGAACGGAGTGAAATCCAATTTCGGGAAGGAACTTGCCCAAGGTCATTGAACAAATAAGTGATGTAATCAGGGAACATGTTCCGTGACAGTAATTCCCCAAACTGGATTTCAGGGATCAGGAGTTTGTAAACATATTCACATTACTCTCAACACAGGAATATTATAGATGCATATATGAATATGTAGTCATTAAATCTATCACTGTGATTGTAATCCAAATACTTGGAAAAGGTTAGTCTCTAGTGCTTATTTCCCCACACTTGCTTTGAATATTTTATGCCATCCATATGAACCAATGCCACCATAATTACAGAACTCACTAATAAACTGTTAACATAAATCAAAGCGTCTTTCTGCCTCTGAATTACACCTACAGTAATAAATTTTAAAATAATGCTTAAAATTGTCAACACCACAACATGCAATTATAAAAATTCTTGTTATTTATAAGAAACTGACAACAACTTTGTAAGCTTGTAGCATTCAAAAGAACACCTATACTTACATTGAAACCTGACATGTTAATGTCTATCCGTGGTTCACCTTCCTTTTGTCCTTTTGGTGCAATTTGATTGAGAAGATGAAAATAGGCTTTGGAATCCTACAAACGAATTGAAAATGTCAGTGAGATCACATTTATAAAGAATGAATGTGTCCTATTGTCCCGGGTTTGGAAGGATACTTGCATCGGATTTTGTGAGAATGTACGACACAATTCTCTATCTTCTAATTTAACAGCTCCTTTCCCCAGAAAAGTCCACTTTTCTGGCTTTAGGTCTGCCTTGAATATGGATGAACTGGATTTTGTCATGACTTTACAATTTATTCAAGTCATCAATACAATAATGCTAGTAAACACATAACTAGTTCTGTACCTTCACTGAGTTACTGAAGTCAATAAGCTTGATAGATAAAACAAGCAAGAGAAAAAAGTAGGACAGGAGAAATCCAGGAAGCATAGGGAAAG